AAATCAAAAAATTAGCTGGGCATGGTAGCACGCGCCTGTAGTTCCAGCTACTTGAAAGGCTGAGGCGGAAGGATTGCCGGAGCCCAGCAGGTCAAGGCTACAGTAGCCGGGAGTGGCCACTGCACTCCAGTCTGGGTGACGGAGTGAAACTCCAACTCAAAAATAAAAATAAAAGGTTATAGGATCTAAAAACAATATATGCTTATTTTATAACATTTTTAAGACAATACAGAAAAGCATTAAGAAAATGTCACCTCACTCAGTGAAAAGCACCACTTATATTTCTAGCTTTTTCTCTATATGACTGCACACCTCGTAGGCCCACATGTATTTAAAATGAAGGATCAGTTGGCATATAATAGCAATTCCATGGCACTTTTTCTTATTGTCCATTGTTCTTTGAGAACAGCCTTTTCAGTGGCTGCACATTATTATAATTTCTTTAGTGAATTCTCCTATATTATAGGGTGCTGGTCAGTTCTAGTGTTTCACTGTTACAAATAGCACTTTGGTGTAACTATCCTTGTTTATTGCCCTCTTAAATAAATAGTGCTTTCTTTCCACCAAAGGAATGGTAGTTCTTTTTTATTTATTGTGTAACGCAACATACAAAGGTTCTATTTCAAAATTTTTGCCTTTAAATACTTTGTTTTACAGGGTAGAATTGAATTTTAACTTCTATTCCCAAATAACTCCAAGCCTATTCAGTTTTAAAAGACATTTGGGATACAGCAACTGAAAAATGAAGCACATTTACTGTTTTTTTAACTCTGTCTTCTGCTGTCAACTTTTTAAAAAAACTAGTTACTGGCTGGGCATGATGGCTCAAACCTGTAATCCAAGCATTTTGGGAGGCCGAGATGAGAGGATTGCTTGAGCCCATGGGTTCGAGAACAGCCTGGACAACTTGGCAAGATATCATCTCTTCAATAAATAAAAAAATTAGCTGGACGTGGTAGAGTGTGACTGTAGTTCTGGCTTCTTGTAAGGCTGGGGTGGAAGAAAAAACACTAGTTACTAAAAGTGGAAAAAAGGCCAGGCTCGGTGGCTCAGCCTGTCATCCCAGCTCTTTGGGAGGCTGATGTGAGTGGATTGCCTGAGCCCGCGAGTTCGAGACCCACCTGGGCAACTTGGTGAGACCTCACCTCTACAGTAAATAAATAAAAAAAAAATTAGTCAGGCGTGGTAGCACGCACCTGTAGTTCCAGCTGCTTGGAAGACTGAGGCGGAAGGATCACCTGAACCCAGCAGGCGAGGCTGCGGTGACCGGGAGCGGCCACTGCACTCCATTCTGGGGGACAGAGTGAGACTCCAACTTAAAAAAAAAAAAAGTGGGAAAAAAAAACTGGTTACTATACTACCGATTTGTTTTTAACTTGATCTCATGATAAAATTGTCACCCTTATTATTAGATCATAATTTATAGAGAAATGTCTCTAACTTGGAATAGAAAAATGTGAAATTTTAATGAAAGGAGAAATAATTGAATTTTTTTTTCTTTGAGTTAGAGTCTCATTCTGTCGCCCAGGCTGGAGTGCAGTGACACATTCACGGCCACCACAACCTCGACTTGCTGGGCTTAGGTGATCCTTTTACCTCAGCCTTCTAAGTAGCTGGAACTATAGGCAGGAACCACCATACCCGACTAATTCTTTGATTTATTGTAGAGATGATAATTTATTGTAGAGATGAGGTCTTACCAAGTTGCCAAGGATGGTCTTGAACCACTGGGCTCAGACAACCCTCTCACCTCTGCCTCCCAAAATACTGGGATTACAGGTGTGAGCCACTGTGCCTGGTGATTAATTGAATTCTTTTTTTGTTTTTTGTTTTTAAGTTGGAGTCTCACTCTGTCACTTAGGCTTGGAGTGCAGTGGCATGCTCACTGCCACCTCAGCATTGACCTGCTGGGCTCAGACGATCCTTCCACCTCGGCCTTCCAAGTAGCTGGAACTGCAGGCACTTGCTACCACACCTGGCTAATTTTTTTTATTTATTGTAGAGATGAGGTCTTGACAGATTGCCCATGCTGTTCTTGAACCCATGGGCTTGGGCAGTCCTCTCACCTCAGCCTCCCAAAGTGCTGGAAATTGAATTCTTTTTTTTTTTTTTTTTTTTTTTGAGTTGCATTCTCACTCTTGTTGCCCAGGCTGGAGTGCAGTGGCATGCGCACGGCCACCGCAGCCTCGACCTGCTGGGCTTAGGCAATTCTTCCACTTCAGCCTTCCAAGTAGCTGGAACTATAGATGGGAATTGAATTCTTAATCTCTCCATTGCAGCCTATGAAAAGTGCTGTTAAAAACATGTAGTATAATTTTACTTTGAACTGAGTAAGGCACTTAAATTCAAGCTAGACCAGCTGTGTTCAAACAAGCACCTCTCTGCCTAGGTACTGGATTATAGTGAAGAAAGGTGAGCATTGTGTTTCTCTGTGGTTTACGTTTAGGATGTGGATCTGGACCGCCAGTCTTTAAGCAGCATAGACAAAAATGCCTCCGAGAGAGGCCAGAGCCAGCTCTCTAACCCAACAGACGACAGCTGGAAGGGTAGACCATATGCAAGTAAGGCCACTTTTTTATTATTTTAAATAAGTAAAATGTTGACGTAATTCTGATTCTCAGAAGGCACAAAAGGATAAACATGATAAGCCTTCTCCTACCCCTATGCCTCAGTCTGCCAGGTCCCTTCCCTGTGGCATCCAATGTCACCTATATTTTTCCAGTGTCATTTTATCCATATGCAAGGAAATACAAAGGCATTTACATACATACATACATACAGATAGTACATGTTAATTCTTTCCTTTTTATGCAAAATTATGAAATACTATGCATTATTCTTTTTTCACATAATACATCTTAGAGATCATTCAGAATCAGTATATAAGGAGCTTTCGCATTCTTTTATACTGTAGTATATATGATACTATTGTCTATTATCCCAATATGTAGATGTACTTTTATTTGCTTAATTGGGTTCCTACTAATGGACAGTTATATTATTTCTAATCATGCTGTTAGGAAGAAAACTGCACTGAATAACTTGATACATAAGTCATTTGTGAGTTTATGTAATAAATTCCTAGAAAGACAGTTGTGAGGTCAGTGCATAAGTGCGTTTGCCATTTTGGCAGATATTTCTAGATTGCTGTCTATTAAGGTTGTGCCTGTTTACATGATCTTTGGGAACACCTAGATGAAACTTGGTAACCTTAGAGTAATTTTAATTTGTAAGTTTCTAATTGTGAGTGAAATTGAGCAGGTTTTCATGTGTTGAAGGACCGTTTCTATTTTCTTTTCTGTGAACTTTTCTCTGTTCATAATCTTTGCTCATTTCGCATTGATTGTTTCTCCTTTCCTTATTGAAAGAGCTCCTTATATACTGGAAATCCCTTTTCTGGATATAAATTTCAAATTGCTTTTGCCCAGTTTGTCTCTTTCGTCATTTGTGGTGTGTTTTACTGTCTAATTTTTTAATAGTAGGTTTTAATCATTGTAATGTGCCAGGCACTGTACTGTGTGTTTCGTGTAAGTGATTTCATTTCATCCTTATACTAGCCTTTGAAGAGGTACTGTTTTTACATTTGAAGGAACTGGGGCTTAAGCAGATGACGTGACTTGCCAGTTTGTAATAGTGCTGAGATTCAGATTCACTTTTGACAGCCTGGGGAATAGAACTTATAAACGGTTATACTGGCCCTTTGAACAGTCTGTGCCCCGTTGTGTGCCTTTCAGCAGTGCCTTCCTGTCCTCAGTACACCCGACTGTAGATGTTAATACCAAAGTTAACTTTTGCAGCAGTGCATTAGACAAAAGCAGTATGTGGTCACCATTTTCTTTAGAAGAAATGAAAATCATCACTCTTGAAATCAATAAAAGCGGCACCATGTTGGAACTGACGTGCTGACCCTCAGTAACTGCTGCAACCAGTTCCTCTCCAGGATCCTGTGATAGACTGTTCTCTTCTCTTTCATCAGCTCCAAATAACGTGTGTAGAGGCCAAGTATACATCTTTCTTTCTTGTTTTTTTTTTTTTTGAGTTGGAGTATCACTCTGTCGCCCAGACTGGAGTGCAGTGGCCGCTCCCAGCCACCGCAGCCTCGCCTGCTGGGCTCCGGCGATCCTTCCACATCAACCTTCCAAGTAGCTGGAACTACAGGCACGTGCTACCACGCCTGGCTAATTTTTTGACTTATTGTAGAGATGAGGTGTCTCGCCAAGTTGCCCGGGTGGGTCTCGAACCCGCGGGCTCAGGCAATCCACTTACCTCAGCCTCCCAAGGCGCGGGATTACAGGCTGAGCCACCGAACCCGGCTACGTCTTTCTTTCCGCAGGAGAACTACTCTCAGTGCAGTGAGCAGTGCCTGGGACTTGTCCCCTCCACTCCCTCCAGGAAACCGTACCTGCTTTTCCCAGTCTCCCAGCTCAGCCTCCCCTGGACATAAGCCCAGGCAGGCAGAGTTTTTGCACTATTAGTATTGTTTCTCTTCTTTCTTTTTATTTGTAGTTCACAGTGCTTTAAGTGAATTGGCATAAGTTGAATGTACATCTGCTGCAGTTTCACTGTATTTTTTAAAAATTTAAACATTCTTTATGAGAATTGTTGTATGTGTATAAAATCTCACAACCAGTTTCAGAAACTTGAACTTGTTTCCATCAGTAAAATCTTTATTGCTTTCAACATTCTGATTCTCTAACTGTATGTTGAGGACAGACTCTCTACTTTTGCTATTGTCAAATCAGTCAACACTTATGAAGTGTTTGACAAGGGCCACCCTTGAGCCCCCAGAGATTAAAAACACAAAGATGGTAAAGTCAGTCAGTAGACAGAAACCACACTGCTAGTTTGAACAGGGAAAATTCAATATAAAGAATTGTTGGCTGGGCTCGTTGGCTCAGCCTGTAATCCCAGCACTTTGGGAGGCCAAGACAAGTGGATTGCCTGAGCCCGCGGATTCGAGACCAACCTGGGCAACTTGGTGAGACCTCGTCTCTACAATAAATAAATAAATAAGCTGGACTTGGTAGCGCACACCTGTAGTTCCAGCTACTTGGAAGGCTAAGGTGGAAGGATCGCCGGAGCCCAGCAGGTCATTGCTGGGGTGGCCGTGAACATTCCACTGCACTCCAGCCTGGGCGACAGAGTGAGACTCTAACACCCAAAAAAAAAGAATTGTTAACTAGTCCAAGGTTGCTAACCACTAAGAGGGGTAAAAGACCACTCTTAAGAGATCTAAAAGTAGGAAATGGGGCTGGGTACAGTTGCTCACGCCTGTAATCCCAGCACTTTGAGAAGCCAAAGTGTTCGAGACTAGCCTGGGCAGCATAGTGAGATACCATCTCTATTTTTTTTTTTTTTTTTTTTTTGAATTGGAGTCTCACTAGGTCACCCAGACTGGAGTACAGTGGCCTCTCCCGGCCACCACAGCCTCGCCTGCTGGGCTCCGGTGATCCTTCCACCTCAGCCTTCCGAGTAGCCGGAATTACAGGCATGCACTACCACGCCCGACTGATTTTTTTTTTGATTTATTGTATAGATGAGGTCTCGCTGCCCAGGCGGGTCTTGAACCTGCGGGCTCAGGCAATCCACTCACCTCAGCCTCCCAAAGGCGCGGGATTACAGGCTGAGCCACCGAGCCTGGCTTATTATTTTTTTTAATTAGAGTCTCACTCTGTCATCCAGGCTGGATTGCTGTGGCACACTCATGGCCACCCCAGCATCGACCTGCTGGGCTCTGGCGATCCTTCCGCCTCAGCCTTCCAAGTAGCCAAAACTATAGACGCACGCTACCATGCCTGGCTAATTTTTGATTTATTGTAGAGACAAGGTCTCGCTAAGTTGCCTGGACTGGTCTCGATCCCATGGGCTCAGACAATCCACTCCCCTCGGCCTCCCAAAGTGCTGGGATTACAGGCTGAGCCACCGAGCCCAGCCTATTCTTTTTTTAATTGAAAAGAAATAAGTAGAAAATGCAGAAAGCAGCTACTACCTTTAAGATACCCAGAAGGTTATCCGGAAACAACGAACTTTGAAGAACCACTCTTACGTCCATTCAGAACAGGTTCTGGCCTCCAAGAGGCTGGGTACTGCAGGAACCCAAAACCATCTGTTGTTGGAGCACAGGCCAGAGCTGGCCTGTAGGAATGGCCCACCAGGTGGCAGAAAAGCTTGCTGGCAGACACAGAAACTACATAGTTGATTATCTTACCTTCTTTAGGTCTTCACTGAAACATCCCATTTTCACAGAGACCATTCCTAACCAGCTTATTTAAACCGAAATCTCCAGTTACTTCCTATCTTTCTCTCCATCTTACATCATCATCATGTGAAGTGCTGTATCTTGTGCTTAAATATTTTACTTATTGTCTGTCAACTCATGGGAGCAGGGAGTTTTCTGCCCAGTTTATTCGTTGCTGTGCCACAGTGTCAAGTCGTGACTGGCATGCAGTGGGAGCTCCGTGAGTATTTACTCAGTATTGGCAGAATCATTATTAGGGTTTGTCTTTATCATCTAATACAGATCAGAAACTGTTTGCCAGCCTCCTCATAAAGTGTGTGGTCCAGCTGGAATTGATACAGACCATTGACAATATTGTGTTCTACCCTGCAACGAGCAAAAAGGAAGATGCAGAGCACATGGTTGCTGCCCAGGTAAGAACAGCAGGATTAGAAGAGCGCTCTTGTCCTCAGGGAGGCTGCTCCAATGCAGTGGTGCGATGGAGCTGGCTTGGACTGGCTCCAACCCTGTCCAGTGCTGGTCACTTCACAGCCCTGAATTCAGTGATGCGTATGGTAGCTTGAAATTGGCTTCGGTGGGAGTTTTTTACATCACAGAAATTGGCAAGCAGGAAAAATCAGAGCCAGAGCTGTATTTGTTTTATGGTGAGTGGGTTCACCATCATACCACTGCTCAAAAGTATTATTTATCACAGGGACTGTTCCCCATAATTGGTATATATGTACCCATAAATAACTGAGAGGGAAAATGTATATATAGAGATGGCAGTGTTTTCTTCAGAAATTCACCTTTGGGTTTTGTATATACAAGGGAGTTTTGAAAATATAGAGAATTGAGGGTCCGGAAGTTGGACAGTAATCCTATGCCACGGGCTGAAACTCCAGCACTTCAGACAATACCAGTTGTGCAAACATCACTGTCTAATTCGAGAATGTTCTTATCACTGCAGTCATTCCCCATTTTCCCCCCTTTCAGGCTCTGGCAGCCTTTATCCACCTTATGTCTCTATGGACCTACCTATTCTGACATTTCATATAAATGGAATCATACAACATGTGAACGTTTGTGTCTGACTTCTTTCAGTTAGCCTAGTGTTTTCCAGGTTTATCCACACTGTAGTATGTATCACTTCATTCTTTTTGGATATGGCTGAAACATTCTACTGTTTGGATTTGCCACATTTTGTTTATCTATCTATCGGTTGATGGACATTTGGGTGATTTCTACTGTCTGGCTATTATGAATAATACTGCTATGAACATTTGTGTGAGCATATGTCTCTTGGTTATATACCTAGTAGTGGAATTGCTGGGTGATAGAGTAACTCTAGGTTTATCTTTTTGAAAAACAACCCAACTGTTTTTCAAGTGGCTGAACCATTTTTCATCCCCACCAACAATGTACGAAAAATCTACACAATGGTAGTGTTGCCCTATTTATTTATTTACTTGTTTATTTATTTATTTATTATTGAGTTGATGTTTTATTCTGTCGCACAGGCTGGAGTGCAGTCGCATACTCACAGCCACCGCAGCCTCAGGTAATCCTTCTGCCTCAGCCTCTCAAGTAGCTGAGACTACAAAAACTTAGCTGGACATGGTGGCACATGGCTGTACTTCATGGAAGGCTGAAGTGGAAGGATTGCCTGAGCCCAGCAGGTCGAGTGCCACTGTACTCCAACCTAGGTGACAGAGTGAAACTCTAGCTCAAAAAAAAAAAAAGTTTTTTTGTTGATGAAGTCCAAGTTACCCAACTTTCTTTAGTCGCTTGTGTCTTTGGTGTCCAGTTTAAGAAAGCATTGCCTAATTTAAGATTCCCAAGATTTAGGGCTGTGCTAAAAGAGTTTTATAATTTGGGGCTGGGTGTGGTAGCTCATGCTTGTAATCCCAGCATTTTGGGAGACTGATGCAGGGTGATCATCACTTGAGGCCAAGAGTTTGAGACCAACGTGGGCAACATAGAAAGACCTTGTCTCTAAAACTTAAAAAAGAGGATTTTATAATTTGGTCATTTACATTTAGGTTTTTGATCCATTTTTTAGTTCACTTTTTTTTTTCTTTTTTTTCTGATGACCTTCTGCAACTCTTCAGGCTGGGGTTCTTATCTCGTGCCCAGGAGGAATGAGGGACATGGATGGCCAGAATGTGAGAAAGCTGGATTTATTGAGAGGACAGAAAAGCTCCCACAGCGGGAGAGGACCCAAAGGGGTTGCCCAGTTCACTCTTTTTTTTGAGTCAGAGTCTCACTCTGTCTTCCAGGCTGGAAGGCAGTGGCATGCTCACACCCATCGCAGCCTTGACCTGCTGGGCTTAGGCAATCCTCCAGCCTCAGCCTTCCGAGTGTCTGGAACTACAAGCACATGCCACAACGCCTGGCTAATTTTTTCATTTATTGTAGAGATAAAGTCTCACCAAGTTACCCAAGCTGGTCTCGAACCTGTGGGCTCAGACATTCCTCTCACCTCGGCCTCCCAAAGTGCTGGGATTATAGGCATGAGCCACTGCACCTGTCCCAGTTCACTCTTTTATAAGATAGGAGGTAAGGGTTCAGCTTCTTTCTTATCCCAGCATCATTGGTTGGAAAGTCTGTTCACTCCCCAGTGGATGTTTCTAGCAACTGTGTTGGAAATCACATGACCGTAAACGAAAGGGCTTCTGTCAGATAAGTTTAATGTTTAGTTTCAGGCATGAAGAAGAAAAGGGTTTCCATTCTTCAGCAGTGAGCTTTGGTGTCAGGCTTTAGTTTAAGAAAAATGAAATGAAGGAAACTTTGTGCAATGTTGTTTTGTTTTTGTGAGCATGTCAGCGCTTTCCCTTTAGTTGCAGCTGTGACCGTCTTGCCATTGCAGACTTGGTAGACTTGGTGGCTCTTGTCATTGATGATCCTGTGAGAATGTGAAACTGGATAATATATGAATTGCAGAATAAAACAAAGTGGAAAAAAATGAAAGGGCTTATTTCTGGACTATCCATTCTGTTCCACTGATATGTGTCTGTCCTTAGGCTGGTATTATTACACTGTTGGGCTCTCTGTGCATGACCGCAGCTCACCAAAGCCGCAAACCACTGGCCTCAAACACTCCTCCCACCTTAGCCTCCCAAGTAGTTGGGACTACAGGCATGCTTGCCTAACTTTTTAATTTTTTTATAGAGACAAGGTCTTGCTATGTTACCTACGCTGGTCTCAAACTCCTGAGCCCAAGCACTCCTGCTGCCTCAGCCTCCCAAAGTGCTGGGATTGCAGGCTTGAGCCACCGAGCCAGCCTGTTTTAACAGTTTAGTAAGTTTTGAAGTTGGGAATTGTGAGTCCTCCAACTTTGTGCCTCTTTTTCAAGTTTTTTGTTTTGTTTTGTTTTGTTTTGTTTTTTGCTATTCAGTGTCACCTGCATTTCCATATGAATTTTAGGATCAGCTTGTTGGTTTCTGCAAGAACTCAGCTGGGGTTTTTGTAAGGCCTGTGTTGACTTTATAGCTCAATTTGGGATGCATTGTACATTCTTCTCTTTTGTAACCTCTGTCTTATAAGGAGAATGGGTATAATCATAGAGGTCTCAAGAAATGTAAAATTCTTAATTATGTCTCAGAGTTTAGATAGCATATGCAATAAAATTTTCTAGCATTTCATATAATTTTTTGTTTTGTTTTTTGTCTATCTTAGAGTCATGGGGTACGTGTGAGGATTTGCTACATAAGTATATTGCATGAAGGCAAGGTTTGGGCTTCTCGTGAGCCTTCTTCCTCCCAATAGTGGACATGGCACCCAGTGAGTGGTTGTGCCCTTTATTCCCCTCCTCTTCCTCTCTCCTTTAGCAGTGCCCAGCATCTGTTGTTACTGCCCTTGTGCTCATGTGCTCACTGTTTAGTGGTTATGAATGAGAATATGCGATAATCATTTTTTTGTTTCTATGCTAGTTCACTTAGAACGATGGTCTCCAGCTGCACCAATGTTGCTCCAAAGGACATGATTTTGTTCTTCTTTATGGCTGCATAATATTCCATCGTGTATATATACCACATTTTCTTTATCCAGTCCCTTTCAATGAGCATCTGGGTTGGTTCCATGTAAAGCTCTTGTGAATAGTGCTGTAATAAACATGCATGTGCAGATGTCTTTTTGGTAGAGCAATTTATGTTCCCCTGAGCATATTCCCAGGAGGGGGATTGCTAGATCATATGAAAGCTCAGTTTTTAGTTTTTTGAGAAATTACCACACTGCTTTCCATAGAGGTTGAACTAGCTTGCATTCCCACCAACAGTATAGAAGCATTCCCTTTTCTCTGCAGCTGCACCAACACCTGATGTTTTTTGACTTTTTGATGACAGCTATCCTGACCAGTCATAATGTTGTAAAGGTTTTTTTTTTTCCTTTGCTGGAATGTTGTGCCTACAAAAAAAGAAAGAAAAGAAAAAAGAATAATTAAATACATACATACATTTTTTTTTCACATATGTAAACACAGTTGTAGATTTTTTTTTTTTTTTTTAGTTGGAGTCTCATTCTGTTGCCCAGGCTGGAGTGCAGTGGCACACTCACAGCCACCGCAGCCTCAGTCTGCTGGGCTCCGGTAATCCTTCTGCCTCAGCCTTCCAAGTAGCTAGAACTACAGGTATGTACCACCACGCCTGACTAATTTTTTGATTTATTGTAGAGATGAGATCTCATCAAGTTGCCCAGGCTGGTCTTGAACTTGTGGGCTCAGGCAGTCCTCTCACCTTGGCCTCCCAAAGTGCTGGGATTATAGGCATGAGCCACCACACCCAGCCCCACAATTGTTGATTTTATTAAGTTCAGTAATCACCTTATTAAGACTAAAGATTCTACTTGGGCTTTTCTTACCAGCTTCTGTTTTTCAGTTAGTGTTTTTGAGACTCTCGCCTTTTATCACACATACTGCATTTTTACTTTCTCGTTTTTAAATTTCTTTATAAAATAAAAAGGGAAGAATGTGTGGCTTAGTATGATGGCTCACTCCTGTAATCCTGCCACTTTGGGATCATTTAAGCTCACGAGTTCAAGGAGGATCATTTAAGCTCACGAGTTCAAGACTAGCCTGGGCAACATAGTGATATCTCATCTCTACCAAAATCATAAAAAAAGAAAATTAGCTGGGCATGGTGGTAAGACTGAGGCCAGAGAATCACTTGGGCCTACGAGTTCAAGGCTACAGTGAGCTGTGATCATGCAACAGAGTAAGACACCGATTCAAAAAAAAATAAAGAAGAATGCAATCCTGTAGTGACATAGTTGAAGACACACAAACTCCTGGAACTTTGGCCAGCCAGGCCTGCTGTTACCGTGCTGCTCACTAGCCCATGAGTCTAAACGGAAGTAGTACAGTGTTGAGGAATGAAGTGTGTCTTATAGAGAAGATGGCTTTTGGAGAGTTAGGGCTGCCATTGTCTGCGATCACAGTGCCCCAGAGCACTCCATCATCTTCACTTCGCTCTCCTACCCTCTGTCCTCTAGCAAGACACACTGGATGCAGATATCCACATAGAGACGGAGGATCAGGGCATGTATAAGTTCATGTCTTCCCAGCACCTTTTCAAGCTGCTAGACTGCCTGCAAGAGTCCCACTCATTCTCAAAGGCCTTCAACTCCAATTACGAGCAGCGGACTGTCCTTTGGCGAGCAGGTAAGACCACACAGCAGATAGGATCGGTGGCTATACTGGTCACCATGCTAAAACATTAGAATCTTTGGGAAATGCCTGAAATTTTAAACGTAGCTCGGATAATTTACCAGATATCTACATGTTTGAGGGAATAAAAGGGAAATGCTGGCTAGAAGTCATCCCAGTACCAAGAACACAGGTACGAGGTAGATGCTTAGAAAGTATTTGATGGGCCAGGCTCGGTGGCTAAGCCTGTAATCCCATGCTTGGGAGGCTGAGGTGAGTGGATTGCCAGAGTCTGTGGGTTTGAGACCTGCCCGGGCAACTTGGCGAGACCTCATCTGTACAATAAATCAAAAGTTAGCCAGGCTTGGTAGCGCGCACCTGTAGTTCCAGCTACTAGGAAGGCAGGCGGAAGGATCGCTGGAGTCCAGCAGGTTGAGGCTGCGGTGACCAGGAGCGGCCACTGCATTCCAGTCTGGGTGATAGAGTGAGATTCCAACTCAAAAAAAAAAAAATAGACCGGGTGCAGTGGCTCATGCCTATAATCCTAGCACTTTGGGAGACTGAGATGAGAGGATTGCCTGAGCCCATGGGTTCAAGACCAGCCTGGACAACTTGGCGAGACCTCATTTTTATAGTAAATCAAAAAATTAGCCAGGTGTGGTAGCACACATCTGTAGTTCCAGCTACTTGGAAGACTGAGGGAAAGGATCGCCTAAGCCCAGCAGGTTGAGGCTGGGGTGGCCGTGAGCGTGCCACTGCACTCCAGTCTAGGTGACAGAGTGAGATTCCAACTCAAAAAAAAAAAAATTAGCCAGAATTGCCTGAGCCCAGCAGGTTGAGGCTGGGGTGGCCGTGAGCGTGCTACTGCACTCCAGCCTGGGTGACAGGGTGAGACTCCAACTCAAAAAAAAAAAAAAATTAGCCACATGTGGTAGCGCACACCTATAGTTCCAGCTACTTGGAAGAGGGCTGAGGTGGAAGGATCGTAGGAGCCCAGCAGGTCAACACTGGAGTGACCATGAGTGTGCCACTGTTCTCCAACCTGAGCAACAGAGACTCCAACTCAAAAAAAAAGCATTTGATGAAAAGACAAATTTGACCGGGCTCAGTGGCTCAGCCTGTAATCCCAGCACTTTGGGAGGCTGAGGCAAGTGGATTGCCTGAGCCCATGGGTTCGAGACCACCCGGTGCAACTTGGTGAGACCTCATCTCTACAATAAACAAAAAATTAGCAGGGCATGGTAGTGTGCACCTGTAGTTCCGGCTACTTGGAAGACTGAGGCAGAAGGATCACCTGAGCCCAGCAGGTTGAGGCTGCGGTGGCCATGAGCATGCCACTGCACTCCAGCCTGGGCAATGGAGTGAGACTCCCAACTAAAAAAAAAATAGACAAATTTAAGGCTGGATACAGTGACTGAAGCCTGTAATCCCAGCACTTTAGGACGCCGAGGCAAGAGGATTGCCTGAGCTCAAGGGTTTGAGACCAGCCTAGGCAACTTGATCAGACCTCGTCTCTACAATAAATCAAAAAATTAGCTGGGCATGGTGGCGTGCACCCGTAATTCCAGCTACTTGAAAGGCTGAGGCAGAAGAATCGCCTGAGTCCAGCAGGTCAAGGCTGTGGTGGCCGTGAGCAGCATACCACTGCACTCCAGCCTGGGTGACAGAGTGAGACTCTGGCTGAAAAAAAAATAAGAAAAGACAAATTGATAGAGAGTTGAGTTGATCTAACAAGCTAAGAAACGTTACACTAAATTAAAAGTTAAATATGATACAATAAAAAGTGTGGTAGTCTAGGAGAAACAGCAAGCATTCGTACATTTTTGAGGCTCTAGAGGTTCCAAAAATAAATATACAAGTCCTGAAGGTAAATATGTATATATTGCTGGGTGTGGTGGCTCACACTTATAATCTCAGCAATTTGGGAGGCTGAGGTGAGAGAATTGCCTGAGCCCATGGGTTCGAGACCAACCTGGGCATCTTGGTGACACCTCATCTGTACAATAAGTCAAAAAATTAGCTGGGTGTGGTGGCACATGCCTGTAGTTCCAGCTACTTGGAAGGCTGTGGCAGAAGGATTGCCTGAGCCCAGTAGATCGAGGCTGTGGTGACCATGAGTGTGCCACTGCACTCCGGCCTGGGTGACAAAATGAGACTCTCACTCAGAAAAAAAAAATGTATATTTTTTTTAGGGGTTGTGGTAGGATTCTTATTATTTTGAACTTTGTACAAAAGTGGCACTTCACATTATTTTTTTATTTTTACCATTACTTTAATTTTGTCCCCAAATACCTTTTTTTTTTTTTGAGTTGGAGTCTCACTCTGTCATCCAAGCTGGAGTGCAGTGGCATGCTCACGGCCACCACAGCCTTGACCGACTGGGCTTAGCCGATCCTTCCACCTCAACCTTTCAAGTAGCTGGAATTATATATAGATGCACACTACCATGCCCACTAGTTTTTGTAATTTATTGTAGAAATGAGGTCTCACCAAGTTGCCCAGGCTGGTCTCGAACCCCTGGGTTCAGGCAGTCCTCTTGTCTCAGCCTTCCAAAGTGCTGGGATTACAGGCTGAACCACCATACCCGGCCCCCACATACCTATTTTAACCCACAATGAAAGAATGCCATTTTCTCAGTGACTTTAGAATTTTCAAGTGTTTTATGTCTTTGCTTATAATAAGGTTTTACTTGTAAGAGTAGTTTGCACATCTCTTTAGCTTATTGGTATTGCTTTTCCTTGTTTTTTGTTTTGTTTTGTTTTTTGAGTTGGAGTCTCACTCCGTCACCCAGGCTGGAGTGCAGTGGCATGCTTATGGCCACCTCAGACTTCACCTGCTGGGCTCAGATGATACTTCCGCCTCAACCTTTCAAGTAGCTGGAATTATAGGCACGTGCCACCACACCCAGCTAATTTTTTTTTTATTGTCATTGTAGAGGTGAGGTCTCACCAAGATGTTCAGGTTGATCTCAAACTCCTGGACTCAGGCAGTCCTCTCACCTCGGTAATCCTCTTACCTCAGCCTCCCAAAGTGCTAGGATTATAGGTGTGAGCCACCTTGCCTGGCCTAAGAACACATTTTTAAAAAACAAAGCAGCCGGGTGCAGTGGCTCATGCCTATAATGCCAGCACTTTGGAAGGCTGAGGTGAGAGGATGCCTGAGCCCATGGGTTTGAGACCAGCCTGGGCAACTTGGCAAGACCTCACCTCTATAATAAGTCAAAAAATTAACCGGGTGTGGTGGCACATCTGTAGTTCCAGCTACTTGGAAGGCTGAGTTGGAAGGCTTGCCTAAGCCTAGTATGTCAAAGCTGTGGTGGCTATGAGCATGGCATTGTCCTTCAGCCTGGGTGACAGAGTGAGACTCCGAATTAAAAAAAAAAAAAAAAAAAAAGAATGTGTTCTTATATGTGCTTTGTGGAGAAAAAAAAATCTTGCAACTTAGAGAAATGCTAGACCTATAACATTTGAGAAGAAACTAATTACTTCACCAGCCACTGAGCCAAGCCAGGCCATTGAGGAATTAAATGTGTCCTATGCAGAAGATGATTTGTAGAGAGTCATGACTGCCTTCTTCTGATATCAGGATTGAACTGTATTAGCTAGGCACGGTATCTCATGCATCCCAGCACTTTGGGAGGCAGAGGTGAATGAATTGCCTGAGCCCAAGGGTTCAAGACCAGCCCGGGCAACTTGAGGAGACCTTGTCTCCACAATAAGTCAAAAAGTTAGCCAGGGTTGGTGGCGTGCACCTGTAGTTCCAGATACTTGGGAGGCTGAGGCGGAAGGATCACCTGAGTCCAGCAGGTCGAAGCTTCAGTGGCCATAAGCATGCCACTGCACTCCAACCTGAATGACAGAGTGAGAGTCCAACTCAAAAAAATTAAACATGAGATTTTCAGTATTTCCTAAAGTAACTGGATTACTAGTTCCCTTAGGATTTCTCAGCATTATCTTAGAATGGTGCACTATTTAATAACTCTCTGATCTCTAGGTTTTAAGGGCAAGTCTAAACCCAATCTTCTAAAACAAGAAACCAGCAGCCTAGCCTGTTGTTTGAGGATCCTGTTTCGAATGTATGTTGATGAGAACCGCAGGGATTCCTGGGAAGAAATACAGCAGCGACTTTTAACGTAAGAAGTTTGACTTCTGATTAAATTACTGTCATCTGCAAAGTGCATCCCAACAATATTGGGTATTGAAAAAAATAGGGCTGGGTGCGGTGGCCCAAGCCTGTAATCCCAGCACTTTGAGAGGCGGAGGTGAGAGGATTGCCTGAGTCCAGGGGTTCGAGACCAGCCTGGACAACTTGGTGAGACTTCGTCTCTACAGTAAATCCAAAAATTAGCCAGGCATGGTGGTGCACTTATAGTTCTGCTACTTGGAAGGGCTGAGGCAAAAGGAGCACCTGAACCCAGCAGGTTGAGGCTGTGGTGGCCGTGAGCGTGCCACTGCGCTCCAGCCTGGGTGATGGAGTGAGACTCCAACTCAAGAAAAAAATGGGAGAGAAGTACCCACATACTATTTTCCTTTTTATTTTTTTCTTCTTTTTGATGACTCTTCCATTTTACTTTTTTTAATTCCCTGAAGAGGGCAAGGCCTCATCGGTTTCACTCATAAGTCTTCCTCAAGGCACAGAACACGGGCAGCCCTGGCCCTGGCTGGAGCCCTGTGACCTTGGGCAGGTCACTGTCCCTCTTAGACCTGTGTTGTCTTCAGAGTTGCTGTCAGCTCTAACTTCCCATTTTTTCTTTCTAAGAGGAATGTGTTAGAATCATACAGATACCAGGATGTGCCTACATCATTTATGCAGTAACGCATAGTAGGGAGATAGTGGTTCACCAGTGAGAAAGCTCCAGCCAGAAAAGTAGGTCTTGGCCACCCAGCTTCCTGGGTATAGCAAGATGCCGATGTCTGAGGCTCCTTTTACTCTTTGAGAGTTAAAAACAGTAACACACAGTGACAGCAACTGTGTGATGAGACATACACTCTCCTGTATAGCTGGTTGGTGAATACAGTGACAGGATCTTTCTGGAAAGCAGGCAGGGTTATATTCGTTATCTTGGACACAGTAATTCCACTGTTGTGGAATCTACTTCAGAAAATATTTTAGAAACAGGAGCCAGGATTCCTACACAGAATATTCATTACAAACTTGTAAGGAGAAAAAATTTAAAGCAGTTAAATTCACTGTGCATGGTGGCTCATGCCTGCAATGCCAGCACTTTGGGAGGCCAAGGCAGGAGGATTGCTTAACCTCAGAGTTTGAGACAAACCTGGACAATATTGCATGACCCTGTCTCTATAAAAAAACCAAAAATTTAGTTGGGTGTGTGACTATAGTCCTAGCTGCGAGAGGCTAGGGTGGAATGATCGCCTGAGCCCAGAAAATTGAGGCTACAGTGAGCTATGATGGTGCTACTGCATTCCAGCCTGGACCATATAGTGAGACCTCGACTCCAAAAATAAAACAGTTCAATTGTGGAATGGATAACTAAATTATGATATATATAATGGAATATTTACAGCCATTAAAAATAAAGTTTTTAAAAAATAATTTTCCTTCATGTGGAAACTTGCTCTAATACAAGAGACTTTACCAAAAAAAAGAAAGAGGCAAATGCAAAACTGTATTTGTTTGTTATTTTCAGCAATGTGGATTTTTTTGGTTTGTTTTTCAGAGACAGGGTCTCACAATGTCTCAAACTCCTGAGCTCAAGCAGTCCTCCCACCTCAGCCTCTTGGGTAGCTAGGGAAAAACTCTAGGGAAAAAATCTGGAAGGAAATATGCTGAACTATTGTCATGTGTCCATTAGAATTATGTATTTTCATCTTATGATTTTTTTTCTCCTTTATAATTTTATATGCTTACTAGTTGTCTTACAATAGGAATATATAACAAGTCATAAACTTTAAACTAATTTAATTAGTTAATTAAAAGGACACCAGTAGGCCGGGCGTGGTGGCTCATGTCTATAATCCCAGCAATTTGGGAGTCCGAGGTGAGAGGATTGCCTGAGCCCATAGGTTTGAGACCAGACTGGGCAACTTGGTGAGACCTCATCCCTACAATAAATCAGAAAGTTAGCTGGGCATGGTGGCGCACACCTGTAGTTCTAGCCACTTGGAAGGCTGAGGCAGAAGGATCACCGGGGCCCTGCAGGTCAAGGCTGTGGTGGCTATGAGCATGGCACTACACTCCAGCCTGGGTGACAGTGAGACTCCAACTCAAAAAAAAAGGGACACCAGTGACTCATTTCAACTTAAATCTTAAATCCAAGAGAATTACTTACCTAGTCTCAAAAAGTTTCTCTAAGCCAAGTGCAATGGCTCCCACCTGTAATCCCAGCACTTTGGGAGGTGGAGGTGAGAGGATTGCCTGAGCCCAGAGGTTCAAGACCAGCCTGGGCAACTTGGTGAGACCTTGTCTCTACAATAAATTAAAAAATGAACCGGGTGTGGTGGTGCACCTCTGTAGCTCCAGCTACTTTGAAGGCTGAGGCAGAAGGATTGCCTGAGTTCAGCAGGTCAGGGCTGTAGTGGCCATGAGTGTGTCACTGCACTCTAGCCTGGATGACAGCGAGACTCCGACTCAACAAAAATAAAAATAAAAATAAAATTTCTCTAAAGGAAATACATAAATGTCAAGTTTTGAAGCATAACATGTTTTTTTTAAAAGGAATTATGTGATTGTGAGGCAAGAAAGAAAGTTACATCATTATGAATATAAGTTTTTTGTGTGCTTATTATGCTGCAGACATTGATTCAGCCCAACCTTAGCCACATGCCAGGTCTGAGCTAAGTTATCATTTAACATATCTATCTCATGTAATTCTCACAACAACCTCTGAGTTTGGACAATTACTTCTCTCTATTTTACAGCTAAAGAACCTGAGGCTCAGTAATTTTTCCAAGTTAGCACAGAGTGGATGGTCACTAATTACTCATTGCAGGAATAAGTAGTTCTCCCCCAAATGTGAGATGTTAATCAGTTGTTTAATCTGCCTCCTCCCTCTCTAATTCTAGTGTGTGCAGTGAAGCTCTTGCCTATTTCATCACGGTGAATTCAGAAAGCCATCGAGAGGCCTGGACAAGTCTCTTGTTGTTACTTCTAACTAAAACCCTCAAAATAAACGACGAAAAGGTATAAACAAGTAAACTTTGTAGTCTCCTTTAGGACATAGGTTTGGGTTGACTTCTCACTCAGAGTTGGAAGTGGCTCTTTTCTCAGTTCTCCCAAAGATGGTTTCATGACTAGCAGCAGTCTAGATGCGTTGAAGAGAAGCTAATTCATTACAGACAATGGATGCCTTAGGATATTAGGGCTTTTTCTTTATCAGTTGAGACACGCTGAAGTTAAAATCACACATGTGCTGTTAGAAACATATGGTGATTTTTAATGTGGGAAGAGAGGATTAAGATTGTGAAGCAGGCTAGGCACAGTGGCTCAAGCCTGTAATCCCTGCACTTTGGGAGACCGAGGTGTGGGGATTGCCTGAGCCACAGGTTTGAGAACAGCCTGGGCAACATGGCGAGACCTCATCTCTACACTAAATTAAAAAATTAGCCGGGCACAGTAGCATACGCCTATAGTTCCAGCTACTCGGAAGGATGAGGCAGAAGGATCACTGGAGCCCAGCAGGTTGACACTCGGGTGGCTGTGTGCGCCACTGCACTCCAGCCTGGGTGATGGAGTGAGACTCCAACTCAAAAAAAAAAACCATTTTGTCTGGGCTCAGTGGCTTAGCCTGTAATCCCAATACTTTGGGAGGCTGAGGTAAGTGGATTGCCTGAGCCCCGCGGGTTCAAGATCAGCTTGGGCAACTTGGCGAGAACGCATCTCTACAATTAAAAAAAAAAAAGTTTAGCCAGACGTGGTAGCATGCACCTGTAGTTCCAGCTACTTGGAAGACTGAGGCGGAAGAATCACCAGAACCCAGCAGGTCGACGTTGGGGTGGTGGTGAGCATGCCATGGCACTCCATCCAGCCTGGGCAACGCAGTGAGACTCCAAATCAAAAAGAAAAAAGATTGTGAAGCACTGGTTTAGAAGTAGGAACTTACTTTATAAAATTAAAGAGCTGGTCGGGCACGGTAGCTCACGCCTATAATCCAAACACTTTGGGAGACTGAGGCAAGAGGATTGCCTGAGCCCACAGGTTCAAGATCAGCCTAGGCAACTTGGTGAGACCTCTCTTCTACAATAAATCAGAAAATTAGCCGGGCATTTTGGTGCATCTGTAGTTCCTGCTACTTGGAAGTCTGAGGCAGAAGGTTTGCCTAAGCCCAGCAGATCGAGGCTGCTGGTGACCCTGAGCATGCCACTGCCCTCCAGCCTGGGTGACAGAGTGAACCTCCAACTCAAAAAAAGAAAAAAATTAAAGAACTATTGACTTTTAGTAGCAAAGTATCCAAATATAATTAAAAGTAGTTAAATATAATTAATTAAAAGATGTTTTCATTTGCAAGGTTTTTTTGCATCAACTTTTTTTTTTTTTTTTTTTGAGTTGAGTCTCACTCTGTTGCCCACTGCAGCCTTGACCTGCTGGGTTCAGGTGATTCTTCCACCTCAGCCTTCTAAGGAGCTGGAACCACAGGCATGCGCCACCATGCCTGTCTAATTTTTTGATTTATTGTAGAGATGAGGTCTTGACAAGCTGCCCAGTCTGGTCTCGAACCTGTGGGCTTAGGCAGTCCTCTCACCTCGGCCTCCCAAAGTGCTGGGATTATAGACATGAGCCACCACGCCTGGCACATCAACTTTTTAATAGTAAGAAAAAGCAACAACATTGTAAGACATTCAGGGGGAGAAGAACACTTTTGAAAAACTGGTGGGACAAAAAAGGTAGTTCCATGTTTAACCTTATTTCTCTGCTTCTCTCCCACCTCAAGTTCAAAGCACATGCTTCAATGTACTACCCTTACTTGTGTGAAATTATGCAGTTTGACCTGATCCCTGAGCTCCGAGCAGTCCTGCGGAAGTTCTTCCTACGGATTGGTGTTGTGTATAAGATATGGATTCCAGAAGAGCCATCCCAGGCACCCACAACACTGTCACCAGTGTGGTAGCCCTTGCCCCTGTGGGCCACTGCTGCAGCTCTGCAGAACATTCATCCTTCCATCTCTGACTGCCATATCTTTTGAAGGTTCACAGGAACAAGGAGCCAGCATCTTGGATCTCTGCCTGGAAAAGGGTGGCCTCACTGGCTCCATCACAGTTCCTGTTGAAGGCTTGTGGTATTAAACTGTTGCATACCCAGTTAACACAGTAGGTAGGGAGTTCACTTCATCTCTGTCATTCCATTTTACTGATTAGTCTTTCAAATCTGTCACTGCAAATGCCATCATTTTCTAGCAGAGTCCCTTGATTGACTGTAAATGTTTGTCAGAAGAAGTCAACTCTCCTTGAAAATATTGAACATAGCTGTATAGGTTCATGATTATTAGAGAGTACGTTAATAAAATTCTTGTAACGGCTAACTGCCACCCAAAATATGCTGGGATTTTTTGTTGTTTGAGTGTGTTAGAGAAGTTTGAGTGTTTTTGTCAGTTATGAGTCACCCTATAGTTAGATTAGTTTGGGGAAAGGAAGGGATTAAAGAAGGGGTTTTTTTGTGTGTTTTGTTTATGCCTGAGTGATTTTTAAAGTATTTTACAAAAAAATATTGAAGATTTGATTGAAGGCGGAGTTTAGTGATTAAGTTAGAATTAAGAACTTGTGAGATTAAAAAAAAAAGTAAATGGTAGTGCCTCATGGATCTCCCTGTTTTAGTAACTTGGGGAGAAAAAGTCTATAGGAAAAGATAAACAATGTAATGATTAACCTTCCTTGAAGTATTTGTGGATGAGTGTTAAAAACACACTGTCCTTCACACACACTCTGAAATCTAATATATGAAGTAATGATGAAGTAGCAGTTTAACCAGAGTTCATTTATCTTTGAGTAAACCTTTTTGCTTTTTCCTCAGAAGAGTGAGTGTACTGATGGTTAGTACCAGTGCTTTGCACAGACCCCATTAAAGGGCCCTCCAGAGCCAGACAATAACTGTGTGAGAAGCCACTCCTATGAACCTCCTCATTCAGATGTCATGGGAGCGACCAGCACAGCTGAACTGTGACAATGGCAGGAGGTGGCACGTGCCCAGCACTTCTGTTAATCTGAGTCTGGGAGCTGCATTCTTTGGCAAGGTTAGGTTCTGAGGTCCTTGTGTTAATGATAGTGCAATACTCTTGCCTGCAGTAGAGCTGATTTTGATGCAGTGTGTGTGTAAGCGGACAGCATGTGAGTGTGGCCCGAAGCCTGCAGGCAGTATCTTTGGATGTAAGTCCATGAGAAAGAGAACACACACTTTATCCTCTGCCCTCATTCACCGCTCGCTGGAGCAGCTCTGAGCATTAGAAAAAGTGTTACACGGAGTGACGAAAACATTCAGACTTCTACCTACACGCTTTAGTCCTGTAAATTGGGTTGTATTGATGTCAACTCTGGTGCCTTAGAAGTTTGTAGTTTGGGACGCTACCTGTAAAATCAGATTTTTTTTTCTTTCCAGAGGAGGATTTCTGGTGCTTTTACTAAGAGACCGATTTCGTCAGTTTTTCATTTTGTTTTGTTTTAACAACCTTGAGAAATGTTTGGTTTTAACCTCTTGTCTACTTATTTCTTTCCCAAAAAGTGTTTTTAATTTCTCTACCAAAGAATAAAAGCGGGTTTAGGTTTTTACATTTTTTACATACATGAGGAAAGAGGAGCTATATAATTTAGCAGGAAAGGACTATGGGAGAATATTTTACTGTGAATGGAAAATGTGAGCACATTCGACTTGCTTGTCCTGGAATCCATTCCATCATTATACTGTGCCATGAAACCCACATTCCCTGGTGTCTGTCACAACCTCAACAAGTCAATCATTTCTACTGATATTTGTGCTGAAGGTATAAAAGGAAGGGGACACACTTTTATTTATTAAGCATATCTTGCATACAGCTGTGTCCCTGATTGGTGATTTTTCCTTTCCTTCCAAGGTTCCCATATGGCATTTTCTTCATCAAATATGACTCCAAGACTTTTCTAGTATATTCCTGCCATGTCTTTAATTTTTGCCTCTTGCAGGGTAGGAAATGTGTCAGTGCACATTTTTATGACTGCTGAAACATTCAGGCTTGGATTTATCAACTTTGTCTTTTAAAAGATTTAATTTTCTGAATGAGGCATTTGAATTGAACCAGCAATGGACTTTTTTAAAAACTAGATGTAAAACCATTCAGGATTATTTTTCTTTTCAATGAGCAGTGACAGAGGAAATCCCTTACCTCCAGTAATAAGCCATTCAGCCTAAATTATTTTTGAGAATAAATCAGTTATTTTATGTGGCTTATGTCACTCAAACATGAGTGAAAAGGGTGTGTGTGACTCGGCAACACTGAGCCAGGACACCATTTCTTAACCAAGTCTGGAAGAGAGTGAAGCATTTTCCAAGGCCTTATTTCTTTTTCTGAATGCTTTAAGTGTTGATTATATGTGCTGGGTCTCCAGAGAAGTTTTTATTTGTTACAGTACTGCTGTGTTGAGCAATTTGTTTTTCTTCATTATCTATTAGAGAAATCACCAGCTTTGGCATCTTAACAACAAACTGGATGGACAATATTATTTCTGATGTGCATCTTTAGAGTCAAGTACACCTTTCCTTGTACTCCTCACGTACAACCAAAGAACGTACATTATGACATTGTATAACAATAGCTGAACATCCGTTTTCCTCTGACAGGTGACTTTTATATAAAATGCAAAAAAACCCTAAACTTTTTTTGTCCTTTTGTGATTATGGCTATACATTTAGTAGTCTTTACAGTTACTAAAGGAACCTGCTGACAAGTACAAGTTTGACCATCTCATTCAAATGTTTGTTGTTATGATGCAGGTGGATATTGGTTTCAGTAGAAGCTGGATCCTTGATACTGCATTTTCCGAATTGTTTTAATATTTGTGTTAAAGTAAACATAGCTTGAACCCACATGAAATCCTGGAGTTGTGTTATCAACAGCTTTGCAGTTTGGGAAACAAAGTAACCAAAGCTGAATTTTCTAAAGAATGGCTATATCTGGAAATCCTTGCTCTCAAAAAAAGAAAGAAAGAAAGAAAAAAACACTCTATTAAAGGTGTAATTTTTCTCAGTGTTCTAATTTTTTAAAAATTTTATCTGCATATTTGCATCAAATACTTCTTTTTGTGCAAAATGTATGTTTTACTTCCCTAAAATGCCTAAAAGTTAGTTAATAGTTACTTTGGTTTAATCTATACACAATGATTAAGTGCATTTAATATTGGTAACTTAATGAAAAGCATTCCTTGCCCAATGGATGTATACATTTTTGAAAGAATAAGCAGAATTATATAATATGAAATGCTATGTAAAGTTTTCTATGTAAAAATATTATGTATAATACTGTTATAATATCCCATGCTTTGATCAAGTGGTAAATCAATAAAGTTTTAAAAAGTATGGTTGTTTTTAATGTAATTTTTAAAAATATGTATATGTATATATATATTTTTTTGAGTTGGGGGTCTTACTCTGTCACCCAGGCTGGAGTGCAGTAGCATACCCATGGCCAACCAGGGTCGACTTGCTGGGCTCAGGTGATCCTTCCACCTCAGCCTTCCAAGTAATGGAAACTACAGGCGTACGCTACCACACCCAGCTAATTTTTTATTTGTTGTAGAGACGAGGTCTCACCAGGTTGCCCAGGCTGATCTTGAACCCACGGACTCAGGCAATCCTCTCACTTTGGCCTCTTTTAAAGTGCTGGGATAGCATTTAGGCTGAGCCACCGAGCCCAGCCTAAAATGTTTATATTAAGTCTTAGTTTCAGGTTAGTTCGAGTTTGTTCTTTTTTTAAAAAATCATTTTTTTTATTCAGAGTCTCAGTCTGTTGCCCAGGCTAGAGTGGTATGGCATACTCATGGCCACCACAGCTTAGACTTTCTGGGCTCAGATGATCCGACTGCCTCAGCTTCTAAGTAGCTGAAACTAAGTGTGTGCCACCCACGCCCAGTTAATTTTTCTTGATTTCTTGTAGGGACGAGGTCTCACCACGTTGCCCAGGCTGGTCTTGAACCCGTGGGCTCAGGCAGTCTTCCCACCTCGGCCTCCGAAAGTGCTGGGATTATAGGCGTGAGCCACTGTGTCTGGCCTAGTTTGTTCTTATGGCAAGGATAAGCTTGTAGCTCTCAAATGGTGGTCAAATTTGGCTTCTGTATTAAATACAATTATTAATGGGAGAATATTAATTGTGGATCTTAATTTTTGTAAGTGAAGTCTCCCCAGTCAAAGGGGGAAAAATTCAGTCATGAGAAGGTTCTTATATATCTCTTGAATCTACTTAGCTTAATTAATTAATTTGACCAGTGGTTGGTTCACAAGAGGACGGAAATGTTCTCATTGGCATTGAGGGCAAGATTCCAGAGGAAGACAGGCAGGGGAACCAACTGGGCACTGAGTGGGTGGGAGCAAGTCTAAGGTTGACACAGGCGCTCACAAATCTAGGCTTGGATTTACTGCCTCTGAGTTCAAAATACAATCTTTCTGAAATATTCTGAAGTTGTAAACCATTTTGTACTTTATCCTACTGCTGGAACTGACTTTTTAATTAAGTCACTGGAGTAAAACTGCTCATCTCTGTAGTACTAAATTTCAGGTACTCCCAGCAAAGAACAAACAGCCCTTTCTTTGGGAAAATATTTCCAGAGAGTCTTTCTTCTGAGCAAGCAGTGCCTGAGTTTTCTCTAGAGCAGTGCTTTTCAACCTGCTGGTTTTCAGTTCTGCTGCCAGGGAGTGGCTGGGACACTTGGCAGCGCCTGGAGACGTTTTCAATTTTCACAACTGGGGGATGGAGGGAGGCCAGAGACACCTGCTGAACAGAATCACAACAAGGAATCACTTATCCCTAAACATCAGTGGTATCAAGGCTGAGAAACCCTGAATTAAAGTGACTTCCATAAGAAGTCCTCCAGCATGATGGTTTAGGGCCCCAAAGTCAATCTGTGGCAGATACTTTAAGCTTTCTTTGGCCTTCCTATTTAAAAAAAATTGGCCAAGCGCAATGGCTCATACCTATAATCCCAGCACTTTGGGAGGCTGAGGTGAGAGGATTGCCCGAGTCCACCTTTTCAAGACTAACCTCAAGGGCAACTTGATGAGACCTCATCTCCACCATAAATCAAGAAAAATTAGCTGGGCATGGCACACGTCTGTAGTTCTAGTTACTTGAAAGACTGAGACGGAAGGATCGCCTGAGCCCAGCAGGTTGAGGCTGTGGTGGTCCATGGGCGTGCCAATGCCCTCCAGCCTGGGTGACAAAGTGAGACTCCTACTAAAAAATAAAAAAAATGTTAAAAAAATTCACCTGCTGCTTTCCTATTTTATTTTATTTTATTTTTGAGTTGGATCTCACTCTGTCTACCTGGCTGGAGTGCAGCGACACACTCACAGCCACCAGTCTCCACCTGCTGGGCTCAGGTTATATTTCTGCCTCAACCTTCCAAGTAGCTGAAACTACAGGTACACAGCACCACACCTGGCTAATTTTTTGTGTGTGTGCTTACTCATTTTATGAAGAAAGTGCTAGGAGGAAGGGCCAACCCATCCGTGTTTAAGGTACCTCTTATGAGCATTTTGAAGAGTAAGTTCAGACTTGTACTGCACTTGTACCCTGCCAACACACTGAAAACATGTTTTAGGCAAAAGTACATTTTCTTTTTTCAGAGGACTAGAGTGGTTCCCTGGAGTTTTTGTAACCCTGTAGAGTATGCCTGTTTCTAGTTTTAAAAATCTACTAAATTGGCTAGGTGTGGTGGCTTACACCTGTAATCCCAGCACTCTGGGAGGCTGAGGCAGGAGGATAGTTTGAGCTTAGGAGTTAGAGACCAGCCTAGGCAACATAGTGAGACCTCGTCTCTATAAAAAATTAAAAATTATCCAGGCATGGTGGCATGCACCAGCTACTCGGGAAGAGGCTTATTATTATCTTATTTACAGCTGTATTCTCAGCACCTAACACATAGTAGCTGCTCAGATATTTGTTGTGTGCTGAATGAAATGCCATTATGTAAACAGGTAAAGTCCATTGAGAAAGATACATTAAAGACAATGGTGAAAAAGATGTTATTTCTACCATTGCAGCAATAGTACAGGCAATCATCGTAATCATTCTAATCTGCTTTCCCGGAAGAAACACTTCCCTGTAGTCCTGGGGAGAATGAGCCAGATGACTTTACCATTTTCTGTCTCTGAGAGGTAATATGTCTAGCATCTCTACCAGTTTCTGCAGGAGGCGGAAGAATCAGTCAGGCCCAGCAGTTCAGGGCTGCAGTTGCATCTTGATCGTGCCACTGCCCTCCAGCCTTGGTGACAGAGTGAGGCCCTGACTCAAAAACCAAAAAGAATCCAGGGCGGTGGCTCACGCCAGTAATCCCAGCACTTTGCAAAGCGGCAAGAGGACTGCCTGAGCCCATAGGTTCGAGATGAACCTAGGCAACTTGACAAAACTTCATCTCTACAATAAATAAATAAAAATTAGCCAGGCATGGTAGTGCACGTCTGTATTTCCAGCTTCTTGGAAGGCTGAGGCAGAAGGATCACCTGAGCCCAGCAGCTCGAGGCTGCGGTGGCCGTGATTGTGCCACAGCACTGCGGTCTGGGCGACTGAGTGAGACTCCGACTCAAAAGAAAAAAAAAGATATCTAAATCTAAGTTGTCCTTGGGCTGTGTTGGGAGCCAGCCTTGGAGGTCCACATGATTGACAGGGTCCCGGTGGGCCGAAGACCCCGGGCCACAGGGCGAGCCCGGGAAGCTGAGGCCCTTCTGTCTTCCACCTTTGCTGTTTGATACGGCTGAAGAAATTCTGTGCAGTCGTGGAAGAAGAAAATGGCATGTTTATGTGAAGTACTCACACCTAACCTGAGAATGTCATGGTTCATTTTCCCATTTTCCCACTATGCCGCTTGGCCTTTTCTAACATATGCAAGGGTTAAACTCTGAAGCACATCAAGAATGCTTTCTTTCACTTGGTTATAAGTTACTAGATATTGCTTGAGTAAAATATAAGTATATTCACTCCTTATTTGATTTAGAATTACGCAGCTTAGTGTTCAGACATAAGGTTTTTTAGAAGTACAGGTTTATGGTAAGTTCATTATGAGCTCATTATAAGTTCTAACACTTATCTAGGAGTTACGTAGGTGATTTATAACACTGTCTTCACAGACTTAGGATAAAGATTAATCGTTAAGGTTTTTACTTAATTCTATAGTTAAATTTTAAGTAAACGTTTATAGAGTGGGTTTTCACTGAATTCATAATATAGTAATTAGATACTTTTATGATAATTAACTAAATACAGAAAGCAACCTTGGGGGCCTGGGAAATGTCATTAAAAGCTTTTTTTGAGTTTTCTTTAGAAATAAACACTGCAGGATAAGAGAAAAGTAACGAAGACACCTGGACAAGAAAGGCGATTACAAAAGCTTTGAAGGTTGTAAAGACCAAAAGAGAAGAACTGCTACATGAAGGACCGTGCACCTGGGAACTTTCTTGAAGCACTTCAAGGACTGTAATTTGGGACTCTTTTGAAGAGAGTTCCTGGCAGTGG